TTCATACATTTCCAAATCCCCAAGACTTCTTGTCCATTTCAGAGGCCTTCTCGAACACTAGTAACTTCAGTTTCCTGCCAATGTACCAGGGACTTGCCCTCCATATAATCCTTAACTAGATTTCTCCCAAACATTGGAGAAAGAGGAAGTGAGCTGAAGAACCCCTATTTGCACTTAGGGATCAGATAGGAATGTATAGAGTACAGCTGTCATTCCTCATGTCTTTCTAGCTTCATCCTTTTCTAAGAAACTTCCAGCTTTACAATCTTTCAGTGGGTAATATCTATTTGGATGAGAATGGAGATCCTGCTGCTGACTTTGATATCATGGACTGGGCAGTATTACCCAATAAGACTGCTGCTGTAGTGAAAATTGGAAGGATAAAGAGAAAGGCTTTTTCAGAAGTCAAGCTCTCCATCCATCAGAGTGCCATCATATGGCCAACTTCATTTAACCAGGTAGCTGAGGATGCTTGTTTGGGGGGTGTCAGGTACTATCGTTTATCTTAGATCTTAGAGATTCATCTAAATTTGCAGCTTAGCAGCCTTTCCATAATGATGGATGGTCTGTAGTGAAGGCACATAGAAGGATGCTCTATTATTTCTCTTGAACCTCAAAAGATCTCCTGCTGGATGTGGGAATGCCAAAGGGGAAATGTAGGAAATGATGTGGTTGGTCAGCTCAATGCCTCTGGTGGCCTGCAAGTAAGTTAAGCAGGCTAGCAAAGACCTTTCACATAGGAGGCCATCTTACCCATGGCTTCTTCGGTGCTACAGTCTACCTCTAGACAGAGCTGGTAGGAAGTTGAGATTCTCAAGAAACACATTAGAATAAGACAGAGACTCAAGGGAGTTATGGAAGATGCTGCCCTACCAAGATTGAAGCAAGGAGCCTTCTGCATTCCCTGCCTTGGACTACTTTTGCCACCATTCTTTGCTAGTGCTACTTGAGCTGACACGGACAGGACTTGAAGTCCAAAGCAGATACTGCCACTTCCTGGAATAAGAGAAAGTGTTAGCTTAAGATGCCCAACCACAGGAGCCATCAGCCTTTCATGAGTGTTGAGGGTATTCTGGGACCAAATCATGGTGAAATGGGATTAGTACTAGGAATATTTCACCAAAAAGGTATGATGTTGAAAATGAGTTACTGAAAAATAGAATAGACTTAGAAAAGACCTTGATAGTAGATTTTTGGGTTTTAAGAGCTGAATATAACAGGAATTTAGACATTTGGAAAGAATAGATTCTTTACTGCTTAAGGTCAAGAACCTGCTTGAGGCAGCTTCTCTTTCTGCTCATTTGCAAATCCTTATCTTAGAAAGGAGCCAGGGATTCTAGGAAGACAATGCCAGATCCATGTTTGGTAAGATTTTCTTGGATTTTCTTTCTGTTTAGAAAATGCCTTTTTCAAGATGTACTGAAAGTTGTCTCCCAGGATACACCAAGCTCACGAGAGAGGGGGCACCAGTTTGCTGCTATGACTGTTCTCCATGTATGGAAGGAACAATCTCCATGCAGGAAGGTAGGTGCTGCAAGAGCAAAGAAGGAGCACCGTCCAAGTCCAAAGCAGGCCTGAACTTCCTTAGTCCCCAAGGCCCACCAGTCCTCTTAAATTCTGCCATCTGCTGAGGCGCCTCAGC